TATTACATTTGAGCTTCATGTCACTAAGCCTTCAACATTGTTCCCTATGGCTTAACATGTATGTAAGAAGTTGGCAGATTGGAAGTTTTTATTTTCTTTATTAGTTTGCACATTTGCTTCTTATCACTTATTAATATGCTCAGCGGATTCATTCCCTTACATTAATTATTTTTTATTGGTAAATCATTAAGCTTTGTGACTGGCCTTGAATTCCGGGACGGATGCCAATTCATTTCTCCAAAGTGCACAAGCACTTTCCAACGCGGCATGACACTGAATTTCAACTTGGGCCTTCAGGTAATCATTTTGCCTTGCTCCATTCTAAAAGCTCTATCAAAATGTCTTCAATCGTCTTCTTGATGCTGTTTGGTTACAGTTAATAACCATCAAGTTTGCTATAGTTGACAATCAAAGTTTCCACTCCCTACTATCAGATTTCCATACTTGTCCACTGAAACTAATTTCTGCTCAAATGGATACATTGTGAAGTATCTAAAGGGATTTTACACTTGGAACGCTCACTGGACCATAGCAGATATATGCCAGTGAACTAAGGCTGACCAGATATCAAATATAATCAATTTCCTATGGGCTCCTCTAATCTTCAAAAGCTCAAATCATTCTAACCTTTGTAGTGATAGGCTATAGGCATTTGAGACTGTTTTTTTCCTTTTCTTAATTATTAATTTTGTACACAAATCAGTTAATTTTATCAATTTAGAATCGGTGTTTAACTCTTCCGCTTGTGTCAGACACTTCATCAGAGCGTGAAGCCATTTTTCAGGAAAATTCCAATAATCTAAGCAAAAAATTTGCTAGCTGCCATTCTACTCACCTACTTGCAATCCTTTTGCTAAACCTACTTATGTGTGAATGATGAGGAAGCGAATAAATGGAAAGCGGGCGCACTCCAATGATATGCTGGATTGCCAGATACCCGTGGTTCACCCAAACTTCGTTAAGATGCTTCCCCCATTTGGAATTATTGTAAGGTTTTCTTGATGCATAAGACAATTTATTTGTAACCTATTAAAGTACATATCTGAAACTGGGTAGTTCACTAAGGAACTCATGACATTGTGTTAGTTTAGTAGATTAATAGAATGTCGTGTTTTGTCTATACATTTCTATGTAGTGCCAATGCACACGAATATTTATGTCAGGAATCACAACCATTTTAGGTAAGAAGTTAAGTAAAGATTAACTAGTTGAATTTCCCAATAGTAATTAGCAGAGTTTAGCTATAGGATTGTGTTTCAATTTTAGTTAATAACTATATAGCTCAACTTGCCCGTTTACCTAATAAGCATATTGGTTGGATATGTGGGCAGTTACCTTGCTGTTAGACTACTCAACCAAGACAGATTGGGAGAATTCCCACGGCTAAAGCATAGGCCTGATTGCATCGTTTAGTTTGCTCTGGAGTTTAAAATTGATTTAAAATTGTTATTTCTATATGCCCTGGTAAGAAATTTAGATGAGCAAAGATGTATTAGAAAACTCGAAAATGCGGAGTTCTCTCCTAGTTTCCTTTATAATGTATGTTTTAGATTATAAATTGTGAGATCAATTGTATTGAAAGTTTGCGCCTTATAGACCTAATATTATTAGGGAGACCTTCATTTCGTATAAAATTACACGAAAAAAAGATTCGTAGGTCGATCTTACCTGATGAAGGCTGAATCCCATTGTACTGCAACCATTTGGTTTTAATACGATGTTCAGGTTGACACAATCCACGAGACATCCTATCTCGCTTCGGGTGAAAACGGAATGTGATTTTGTTCATCATATAATGGATATCACCAGAGCTGGAAGTCATTCTTGTAAAAGTCTCACGTTAACATTATATGAGGAAGGCTATCCGGCAATGTCCTGCCTCTTGGATCTCTCATATACGCATATACTTGTTTGCATCATTTAAATGAACCACTCTTTTTTCTATCAAACTTGTTCATTTCATGACTACCACTGCTCGTGTATGCCTTTAATCATACATCCAATGGAAAGACTTAGGATTAGGCTAAAGGATGTTCTTAAGGTATGCATAAGTAATGATGAAATGGAAAATTAATTCACTATTTCGGAGAGATGCAAGGGCCCCCACGGCTTACGGTCTCCCTAAGGTTCACAAAGAAGACGCTCCTCTTAGATTAATAGTAAATAACAAAGGAAGCATGATGCATACAATCTCACGTTTTTTGTGCAGGCAGCTAAGAAAAACTGCTCATTTTGGTTATATTCAGTTAAAAATTCTTATGAGTGTAAAATTAATTGATTAGTAAATGACTTCAGAAGATAGGTTAATAAGTTTTGATGGTGTGTCTATGTACGCAAAAATTCATGTTCAAAGAGCTATTCAGGTTCTAGTACACACTCTGGATGAGCATCCTGAGATCACACAAGGAATGAGGTTGAGTGTATCGTCCATTGCTAGACTTCATAACCTATTAATGAGTAGCACCTATTTTACATTTGGTAAGTTATATGAACAAACACAAGGACTTGCGCTGGCACTTGGCGAACAATTATATGGCTAGATTTGAGAAGCACTTCTTCGAAGAGGCAATAATAGCCTCCAAATTGTTGCTTAGATATATGAATGACTTCTGTTATTTGGCTTCATGGTAAAGAAAGTTTCTTATTTTCACTTAACCAACCTAAAAGGGATATTATGTTCACAATGGTAATAGAAGAAGATAGGTCCTTACTCTTTTTGGATGTTCTCATGATTAGAGAAGTAAGTTAGGAGAATATGTTTATAGGAGGCCAACATATGTTGGCTCTGCTTAATTTTCTTTCCAACCATAGTTACAAAACTAAAGTTGAAATTTTGAAATAAATTATTATTAAGAGTATGAGGCTAGCGGATAGCAACCATTTAACTAGAGCTAGAACAGCACAAAATTGATTCCTTGAAAATAATTATCTTTTTGGTCTAATTGAGAATAATATCCTTTTAATGAAGAATAAATTTTCAAACTGAGACTATTTAATCAAAGATAGACAAACTGAAACGTTTCCTTATGTCCTGATTTTGTCGTCATGCCTTCTAATAAGAGAGGCGAATTAGTGGGGAAGGGGAAGACAAAACTATGTTTGAAGTAATCCTTATTTTCTTTGGTTATGCTATCTTTTAGAGAGAAATATTACCTATTATCGAGATCCGGCTGCTGTAAGATTGTTCTCCTGTTGTATACCTTATGTTGATGAAACATGCAGGCCCATTTGACAAAGTTTAGGGGAACACAAAAATGCTTGTAAAGGGGGCTAGATCCAATGGTCAGAAGTGACCGAACACATTGCAGAGACTGGGCATGAGATAGAATGATCTCAAACTGGCAGGTTTGCTGATTATGGCATGTTTGCTTTCAAAAGGAATATAAGAGAGGCTATTTTAATTAATAGATTGGGGAATATGTTGAATGTAAGAAACGCTGGTTAAAGGAGAAAGAGGGTGTTGAGCCGCCATCCAAAAATGCGACTCAATTTGTCCACTCAATGATGGTTCTAACCTCACTCACACCCGTCTTACATGTTAGATTAAGCTTATCAACCAAACCAGACGTACTACATTACACAGCCTCAGCCATGCCTATCCTTAAGTTGTTAAGCCTTAATGACCGTAGGCTGAGAGGTTGGGACAGGTGGTTTCGCAACCTGACATGCTTACAAGCAGACAGTATAAGCATAAAGTGGTAAATTAAATCATTGTCTCTCAGTAAATAATTGATTTGAGACTTGAGTCTTAATTGATTTTACTTTATCGTTCTTCTAGAATTTTTTGTCCCGCAACACACATAGGTTTTTTGAAGTAGGCATTAATCAAAAGCATTTTAACTACACCTTTAATTCACTTTTATTCATTAAATACGATTTATTTTATAGCTATTCGGATCTTGATTCTTTATCCATTTTACTGTTTTTTTATTGGATTGATAACCTTCAGGCTAAATAACCAACGTACTTAATGTGCTTACCTTCCATTGTTCAAATATCGTTCTTGCTGTCAGTTATGCGAAATCCGAACTTGTAGCTACTCTGGTTGAAAAGTGCCTATAGGAAGGCTGAAATAAATTAGATTCTAACATTATAACCTGAATTCATCATTAATGAACTGAGTCCGACTCAAAATCAATTTAAAACTGATCCATTTATACAAAAACCCAATAGTCATTAATCAACATTCCTCCGTAGAAAGGGCCCACTCAAATTTCTATTTCTCTTAACAGGACGCTTGAAGTATTCCAGATCTTACTCAAATCTTTGTCTACAACGGCAAGTAATGCCATCGTAAAAGTCAACTTTACTCATAAGAAATTTCTCCACAATGAAAGAGAAACTTCATTTTGCCATTTTATTCCATTGCACTGATTTCTGACACCTGAATTGAACATTTTTGAATTGCCTCTGTTTTGTTTGGTTTAGCATTTCTGTTTATGTCTAAAACCCGTTTCCATCTCATAGTAGGTTTGTCGACGGGATCTGAGTGAGGGGCCTTAAACCTTTTCTGAAGCACTATAGGTATAAATTTATAGCCAATAGCGGCCTAATCATTATTAATATTTTGGTGCACATTTGGAACTTGCTAATTGCGATCCTTTCTTCTCCAGGGTCTTGTGAACAGTGAGGCTAAGGAAAAAGCTGCCAAAGTATATGCTATTTGGATTGGTGACGTAATCGGCATTGGTCTCGGGGACCGTATAACTTCCAACGATGAAGATTATGATGAAGAAGAGAGGAATGCTATTTTCACATTAATGGCAAAAAGACGCTCTCGTGCAATCAGCATCTACATTAAAGAGGAGGATGAAGCCAGCTCAGGTGAAGATGAGAAAGAGAACGTGGGCTCGAAGGCTTCGCGTAACCTCTCTGGTTCTGGTGACAAGGATCGCCGAAAGCCATCTGCTACAGCATCGGCTGGAGGCGATGTGACTGCCGACGCAAACGGTGTACTTGGTCGAGGCCGGAGAAATGCAATCCTCGAACAGAAGACTCGGGTAGGTCGATGACATTTTTCAGTAACTTATATAAATTTTGTAAGATATGAAGACCAAGATGGTATGGCCTCTGGTATGTACGCACTCTCCTTTCGATTTATAGAAGTGGGTTAGCCTGGTTTTCGCAACTTGTTCTTGTTGTCAAGGGGACTAATAGGACACACCTTGTCCGAAGTCTTCTGCCATAGTAATTATCATAATTCCCAGTTTGGGAATGTACCAAGTCAGTTGTCCAATGCTGGAAATCACGAATACTGGCAGAGGATACGGGACTAGGTACATTCCACATAGTCTGACGCTCCGGCTAAGTTGCGAAAACTAGATCGAACCAACGCTATAAAGCTTAAGGAGACTGCGGCAAAACAAAGATCCCACCATCTTGGTCTTCATATCAACCATATATCAATTTTGGCTTAGCCTACCATGTCTATAACCTTTTGTGAAATTCTATTTTTACATGCTACTATAAATTAATGGGCAATTTTTTTATTTTGTTAACTAAGTGGTCTCAGGATATGAAAACCAATATGGTAAGGGCTTCAGTTTAGTCGCTAACTCCTTTGGCATTATAGTGTTTTCGCAACTCGGTCGGAACGTCAGGGAGCCTGGTTCTCTGACGTGATATTCGTGATTTCCAGCTTCGGACTATTGACTTGGTAGATTCCCAAACGTTTCGCCGGCATCTTCAGTGAGAGACACCATGGTTAGCACAAAGTGACAATTGAAGGCAATCTTCTTGACCAATTTTATGTTCGATAGATGTGGCTTCACTTCTCGCCCCTTTTTTATTCTACATTCTAGTGCTGCACCTCTTTCTCTCAACCTCACTTCACTTGTGTGCCAACCAACAAACGTTGTGGTTCAACATTGAACCTAATCAAAGCCAGCAGTCTCACAGCATTTGTGGATTGGCACACAAGCACTAAGGGCATGGCAAGTCATAGACTTGGTATTTGGGATAGAGACGGGATAGACGATTGGAGCTAGTCGGCTGACAGTAGGTTTTACAAGAGACGTGGTCCATTTAGCAAAGGCATTACCATGAGACTTACTCTGAGGCTTTAGCCTCTAGTTAAATGGTTGCTTTCCGCTAGCCTCATACTCTTAATAATAATTTATTTCAAAATTCCAACTTTAGTTTTGTTACTATGGTTGG